TTTGGTAAAAAGTGATATTTCCTTCTTGTTAAAAACCACAATCATTTATGGTGAAAAATGATATTTTGAATTCTTGTTGAAAACAGCAAGTCCCATTGCTTTGATACTATACATATTGTTCATTTTCTAATGATATCTTCTGTTCTTTAATTGAAATGTGCATTGCTAACAGCGGAGCTATCTCAGTCGAGAGGCTGCTTGTTTTTTACTTTTACTAAAGTTTGCTAGTGATGCAGGTTGTTGTCAATGATTTTCTGAAGGAGTCTGATTTCTAGGTTTGAGTATCAGGTGGGGCATATCCCATATAAGATACTGGATTGTTGTTATTCTCTGCCTGCCTGCCTGCTTGTATGCAGTCCATCCTATCAAAACAGCTTATTGTTTATAGTGAAATTACAACTTGCAGACAGTGTAAGACAGACTCCTGAAGACCAATAATAAGTCTTCAGTTGGGGGACAGTCCCTGTGAATTCTAGATTGTAGATGAAAATAAACAAGTTTCAAAAACAATCTTCATTCTCTAGAGTGTTAAAACATTTCTGCTGATGTAAAATATAATATGCCATGAAACTCTTATTATGCGTTAACATGTCTGGATTTATTTTCTGTAGTAGTATTTTTTCCATGCCTTAATTGTTGTTCTTTCTTTCTCACCAGTACAACTTTGTTGGGAGGATACTCGGGCCACGCGGAAAGACAGCTCAAGAACTTGAAAGGATAACGGGTTGCAAAATAATGGTGAGAGGAAGGGGATCAATGCGCGACAAGAAAAAAGTAAGTATTATAGTTACCATGGAGACACAGTTTCTCCATCTTGGAGCCAACTAGATTGAGATCATCAATGCTGCTTTCTGAGGAAAAGCATGGTAATTGCGTTACCATGGCAACCCTTTCCTCATCATTATTGCCTTCCGTCATATATAGCTTCATCTGGTTATATTTTAAACAGTTTGTCACGAATCTGTAATCTGTCTTTTTATGTTTATGTCTTTCTTTGTTGTTCATTTACTCCGTTTTCCTGTTCATATTTTTGCACGAGTTCATGTAAACCGCCTTGTTTCTCATTTGTCTGCTTTTAATGGGAGATTGTGTCATCAAAAAAATGCAATTAATAAATTACAAACTTAGTGGAGACAGTGTAATTATCGAAAATCAATTCTGTCTCAAAGCTAGCTGGGATTTAAGTAATCAAACTGAATTCACTTCTTAGAGTGTAATCAGCGTCTGTATGAATGCGAGATGACATGCTATTGAGACACTGAAAGTGACAGAATGGGTGTCGGGGGGAAAATAATGAAAACAGTTGATAGGAAATGCTCAGCAAATGGTTATTATGAGAAATATTAAGACACATATTTGGATCAGCAATAAGAATTGAAGTATGTCATAGAGGTCAATACCATAAAGCAATTCAATGCAGAAGGATTGCAATTAAGTTACTTAAGGGTGAGGTGTATTATATCGAGGGAGGGGGGCTCAGGGTTCTCCACGGTTTGAAAATTAAACAGGGCGCGCCAATGTGAAGTGGGCGTGGCACATTTGTAACGTGCATCATTGGCAAGGATGTTGAAAAATAGAAAACAAAAAATCTATTAATCTACATATTATTACATATGCATAATATATATTTATTATTACAAAATGATTAGGAATTTTGAAGAGCTATTATTAAGTAAACGTCAGCACGTACAATCATCTGATTTTAGCTGCACGATTCCTCAAGCGGCGACATCAGTTGTTTACAAGTAATGATCGCGTCCAGAAAAAAACGTACAAGTTTGTTAATTTATTTTCCCAATAGATACATACATGCTTTTATTTATTATTAGCAA